TTGTTGTTGTTGCTAGCACTATAACTATTATAGTACTCCACATTATTGTTGTTCTTGTTGTTGCTGCTGTTGTTGTAAGTGCTAGCTCCATTATGATACTCTTAGTTGTTATTGTTGTTATAGTAAGTGCTACTCCCATTGTGATACTCCTCGCTGTTATTGTTGTTGTTGTAGTAAGTAGATTGTGATACTCCTCGTTGTTATTGTTGTTGTTATAGTAAGTGTTGGCCCCATTGTGATACTCCTTGTTGTTATTGTAGTAAGTGCTGCCTTCATTGTGATACTCCTCTATATTATTATTATTGTTGTTGTTGTTGTTGTTGTTGTTGTTGTTGTTGTTGTTGTTGTTGTTGTTGTTGTTATAGTAAGTGCTACCCCCATTGTAATACTCATCTTTGTTATTGTTGTTGTTAGTAATGCCACCACTGTAGTACTCTTTGTTGTTGTTGTTATTGTTATAGTAGTAAGTGCTACCCCCATCTTGATACTCCTCTTTGTCGTTGTTGTGGTAGTAGTAGTTGTTGTTGTTATTAGTACTGCCACCATTGAAGTACCTCTCGTTGTTATTGTTGTTGTTGTTGCTAGCACTATAACTATTAAAGCACTCCTCATTATTGTTGTTGTTGTTGCTAGCACTATAACTATTATAGTACTCCACATTATTGTTGTTGTTGTTGTTGTTGTTGTTGTAAGTGCTAGCTCCATTGTGATACTCTTCATTGTTATTGTTGTTATAGTAAGTGCTACCCCATTGTGATACTCCTCTTTGTTATTGTTGTTGTTATAGTAAGTGCTAGCTCCATTGTGAAACTCCTCTTTGTCGTTGTTGTGGTAGTAGCAGTTGTTGTTGTTATTAGTACTGCCACCATTGAAGTACCTCTCGTTGTTATTGTTGTTGTTGTTATTGTTGTTACTAGCACTATAACTATTAAAGTACACCTCATTATTGTTGTTGTTGTTGCTAGCACTATAACTATTATAGTACTCCACATTATTGTTGTTCTTGTTGTTGTTGTAAGTGCTAGCTCCATTGTGATACTCCTCGTTGTTGTTATTGTTGTTATTGTTGTTATAGTAAGTGCTACCCCCATTGTGATACTCCTCGTTGTTATTGTTGTTGTTGTAGTAAGTGTTACCTCTATTGTGATACTCCTTGTTGTTATTGTTGTTGTTATAGTAAGTGCTACCCCCATTGTGATACTCCTCGTTGTTATTGTTGTTGTTGTAGTAAGTGTTACCTCTATTGTGATACTCCTTGTTGTTATTGTTGTTGTTATAGTAAGTGTTGGCCCCATTGTGATAGTCCATACTTCTTGTTGTTATTGTAGTAAGTGCTACCTCCATTGTGATACTCCTCTATATTATTATTATTGTTGTTGTTGTTGTTGTTGTTGTTGTTGTTATTGTTGTTGTTGTTGTTGTTGTTGTTGTTGTTGTTGTTGTTGTTGGTGTTGTTGTTGTTGTTGTTATAGTAAGTGCTACCCCCATTGTAATACTCCTCTTTGTTATTGTTGTTGTTAGTAATGCCACCATTGTAGTACTCTTTGTTGTTGTTATTATTGTTATAGTAGTAAGTGCTACCCCTATTGTGATACTCCTCTTTGTCGTTGTTGTGGTAGTAGTAGTAGTTGTTGTTATTAGTACTGCCACCATTGAAGTACCTCTCGTTGTTATTGTTGTTGTTGCTAGCACTATAACTATTAAAGTACTCCTCATTATTGTTGTTGTTGCTAGCACTATAACTATTATAGTACTCTACATTATTGTTGTTCTTGTTGTTGTTGTTGTTGTTGTAAGTGCTAGCTCCATTGTGATACTCCTCATTATTGTTGTTGTTGTTGTTGTTGTTGTTGTTGTTGTTGTTGTTGTTGTTGTTGTTGTTGTTATAGTAAGTGCTACCCCCATTGTGATACTCATCATTGCTATTATTGTTGTTGTAGTAAGTGCTAGCTCCATTGTGATATTCCTTATTTTTGTGGTTTGTTGTTATAGTAAGTGCTACACCCATTAAGATACTCCTCGTTGTTGTTATTGTGGTTAGTAATGCCATCATTATAGTACTCCTTATTGTTGTTGTTGTTGTTGTTGCTAGCACTATAACTATTAGAGTACTCCTCATTATTGTTTTGTTTTTTTTGATGCTAGCACTATAACTATTATAGTACTCCTCATTATTGTTGTTCTTCTTTTAGTTATTGTTGTAGTAAGTGCTAGCTCCATTGTGATATTCCTCGTTGTTATTATTGTTGTTGTTGTTGTTGTTGTTGTGGTTGTTGTTGTTGTTGTTGTTGTTATAGTAAGTGCTACCCCCATTGTGATACTCCTCGTTGTTATTGTTGTTGTTGTAGTAAGTGCTACCTCCATTGTGATACTCCTTTTTGTTATTGTTGTTGTTATAGTACGTGTTGGCCCTATTGTGATACTCCTCGTTGTTATTGTTGTTGTTATAGTACGTGTTGGCCCTATTGTGATACTCCTCGTTGTTATTATTGTTGTAGTAGTAAGTGCTACCTCCATTGTGATACTCCTCTATATTATTATTATTGTTATTATTATTATTATTGTTGTTGTTATAGTAAGTGCTATCCCCATTGTAATACTCCTCTTTGTTATTGTCGTTGTTAGTAATGCCACCATAGTAGTACTCTATATTGTTATTGTTTTTGTTGTTAGTACTACCTGTCACACCTCCTTTTTCCGCACCCGANGAAAGGTGGGTCACGCGCACGTGTACACCATAAATTTAGAAGACTCAGAAAGAAGAAAGGTTTCGCAACAGTTTTATATACACAATTCAGATAATATTAAAGCGGTAAAAGCATCATTTAACACACTAAGCATATATCATGTAAAAATCAGATAAAAAATAAAGCCAACTATAACA